GTATGCTTCATCTTTGCTACTGTGGACCCTTTTTTATTTCTGAGGTTTGGCAGCTTTATCAAATATTCACAACAATGGAACAGATTAGGCCCAGCCCTTCACTTCATGTGCTACAAAATTTTACTCCACTCCTTCGAAGCCTGAAAAGCCCATTCGATTCAATTCGGTTCGGTTCAAAACAAAAGGAATGAGATGGACTTGGAATTTTATATTTGTCCTTAAAGCCGTACATTAAGGCCCAACAGCTCCTATCCAATTGCTCAACAAGGCCTTCGGCGCCATCACATTCCGAACCGTCCAAAACCCAGATCCACTGTTTTGGACAAGACCTTACGAGAAATATAGAAAGCCATGAATTTAAAAGGCAACGACATCTGATTTTACTACCAGCACAACCATTGATAATCAATAGCTCATATTAGCTGAATTTAAATCCGCCTAAATAGAATCATTCTTATATGACATTTCGAAAATCAAATCCTCCAATATATTGTCGACATTTCCAGGACAACTACCAATGATAACGCCTAAATAGAAATAAAGGTTGAATGAAAACCATCCTAGCAGAGTATTTAAAGCCCTCTACTCAAATGCATCATCATCGTCATCAGGAAGAGGCTGATTGGCTGCCTGTGCAAGCTCCGCTTCATGCCTGCAAGAAGCAACAAACACCGACATAAGAAAATCTTCTTCAGAAAATTCAGCTCTTAATAGAACTCAATGGCCAAAAAAGGATTGGTGAGGCAATGCCGCTCAACAGTTTGAATTGAAAAGTTAGATTATGGTAGCCTCAAGAACATAGGAGTCGAACAATTTCCAGATTTACACCAAAGAAGACCAGCATAGACAAAGTTCTTACTGTTGTTGAGCAGCCAAGTCAATGTGTACTTCTGGAGGAGCAAGGGCAGGAGACTCGACGAAATGAAGATTTGTGTCACTAAAATAAAACCAGCAAATATTAACCTTTAGTCTTATTATCAACACTCGAATACTGAAAGGAAAAAAAGAAAAAGAGTGAATATATTATCTTAATTACCCTGCAAGCTTCCTAGCCAGGTAGAGGAAAGGCTTCTCAAAATTGTAGTTGCTCTTCGCCGATATTTCATAGTATTGCAGATTCTTCTTCCGGTGGAAGGTAACCTGCTTGGCTTTAACCTGCCTGTTCTTCACATCAACCTTGTTTCCGCAGAGAACAATGGGTATGTTCTCACAGACCCTGAAATTACAATTTTTAGAGCCAAAAATACCAAGCCATCATCAACAGCTGGAAAAATGAAACAATAAAAGAAAGAACAAACATGACATGATGACATATAGAAATTTAGTCAACTCACCGACAGAGATCACGGTGCCATGTAGGAACATTCTTGTATGTCAACCTAGCTGTGACGTCAAACATAATGATTGCACATTGCCCGTGAATACTGCAGAATTTAACAGATAATTTCAGGTCAGACCTTCAACTAAGCAGCACAATGAAAGGGCAATTAATCTTGTGAATCACAAGAAAAAGTTGGTGAAAAACCTAGAGGTTGGCAGTTAATCACAAAATCACAAGAATGAGATTTCTGTGTCTATCATTCATACCATGCTAATATCACGTATCAAGGAAATGAAAACAATGAAAAAAGAAAAAGGTGATTGCATCTCGTTCAGTCCCATCTCCCTTCATAAAAATTTTCTTTATCCTTCACAAATTCTCTATCAACATCAAATACAAGTAGATACAATTGAGGTTTAACATTATTTCACATATATAACAAATTAAAAGATACAGTAAAATGTTCAGAAAGACACTAAATATATTAAGTGTCATTAGCGGATTACATGATTTTATGTGTAAATGAATACCAAAAAAATCAAAGCAACATCAAAATAAATCTCCACTTACTAGTAGCCATCCCGAAGACCGCCAAACTTCTCTTGCCCAGCAGTATCCCAGCAGTAAAAGCGGATCTTTCCGCAATTTGTGAAGAAGTCCAAAGGATGAACCTCCACACCAATGGTTGCTGTTTGCAAGTATAACCAAACATAACTCAATCAGAAAAAAGTAAATTTAATTAAATAAATTAAACCATGTAGTGAAATGTCAAAGAGGAGTCTTACGTTCATATTTCTTCTCAAACTCTCCAGTGAGATGCCTCTTCACAAAAGTGGTTTTTCCTGCACAATTCATCACCATTCAGCCCAAGTCCAAATCAACACACAGCACACTATAGCTCCGAAATTCCCATTAAAACGAAGGTACGAACATATACATATACTGAAAAACATACTGGAAAGCCTCGAATACGACCACATTTGTTTTAGACTGAAATAACTCCAGGAAAATCTTCAACTTCACAGAGAAACAAATATCACACAAGGAAAAAATAATCCACGGAAATTCTTTACTTTTATGGGAATTGATTTAGCATCTTAGGCAGGGACCATAGTAGAACAAAGTATTTTTTTGGTTTTGTTTTTGTTTGCCCTTGTGCTGATTAGTGTTAATCAAATCTATCTAAATCCAATACAAAACTACCAGGAAACAGTGAACTTTTTAGCCAAGCGAATCACATTCTTCTCAAAAACCTAATTCTAAACATGAAATACTTGTGCCAGGATAGTCAAACAAAACAGCTATTCAGAAAATCAGACAGAAAACAGGGAAACGTAAAATTTACCAGTGCCTCCATCGCCGACGATGACAAGCTTAAAGCTTGGATAATCAACAGTCTGTTGGTTTGGCAAAGCCTACAGAACAAATTTGAAAGACATGAAAATATATATATATATATATATATTGATAATTTAATATGACCTAAAGCCAAACGAAAAAGATCGATCTCCTGAACACCTAAACCCTAACGTAAGGAGAAAAATATCAGCGAGATAGAGATAGAGAGTTACCATTGGGTTCAAAGTAGTGAGTGGGGAGAGAGAATCTAAGAGCAGCGGAGTGACAGAGACACAAGGAGAAGAAGACGGCGACTTGAGTTTAGAGAGGTGAGGAGGGAGGCACTTATATGGATCTGTGGCTCTGAGAGCGTGGCTTTAGATTGACGCTATGATCTCCGCCGTTGGATTTGATTACTTTTGTTTCCTGAACTTTCTATAAGAACGAACTATTTTCGAAATTTCACCCACTAGACGGTCCCACATATAATTTTTTTTTGTATAATAATAATTTTATGAAATTGAATGGGTTATCTACTGTAGACGTCCCTGAGCTTGGCCCCCAATTGTAAGGGTCCATGAACTTTTTTTTATGCCAATTACATCCTTTAACTGGACAAATAGTTGCAATTAGGTCCTGCCATCCAACTCTATCAATTTGTCCGTCAAAATGAGGGGTAAAAGCGTCCTTTCAAGTCTGAAGAACAAAACTGAAAAAATTGAATAAATAATAAATAAATAAATAAACTTAAAATAGAGAGGTGATTTCCCCACTCCAATTTTATCCACTTACACTCCATTTTATAACTAACAAAAGAGTGTAAAGGAATGTAAGTGGATAAAAAGAGAGTGGGGAAATCATTACCCAAAATAAAACCTAAAACCCAAATTCTTGTCTTTCCCTCTCTCTTGCAACCCATTCCCCACTCATTAGAGCATCCACAATGGGCTCTTTAAACCACATCCTTAAACAAATTTTAGGGAGGAATTGAAAAAATACAACTCCAACCATGCTCCTTATCCACCTCCTAAAATAGGGAGATCTCTAGGAGCTCCCAAATATGAGGAGAGAGAAAGGACCCCTAGTGGCTCCCTATAATTTAATACTGCTTTATTTCATGAGTATTTCAAATCTTTAATTAATACTAACTATTTTTTATATTATTTTAATAAAAATGGACCAATTACAAAATAGTTATAGCATTTATAACTCCCTAAATTAGAGAGCATGATTGGAGTTTAAATTTTATAAAGAGCTCTTAAAATAATTTTTATATGTTTATAGCTCAAATTTAACTAAAAAATAAGGAGCATGATTGTGGATGCTCTTATCCCACCCTCCTCAAAACCCATATCCCAACCTAACCTGCAACCCACCCCTCATCTCCCAACCTGCAGCCCATCTCCCCGAGGACAACATAGAAGAGGCCAGTAGTGGGACCACCCACCCAACCCAACCCCTTACCCCGTTGCCTCCCTTTGCTCTCTCTCTCTCTCTCTCTCTCTCTCTCTCTCTCTCTCTCTCAAACTAAAAGGTCTCTTGAACCCACATAAGCACATGCAACATATCTTAAGCATTGAAATTGAATTATCATTAACACCCGCCTCTCCCCCCAAGCTTTTACAGATTTGATGACAATCTGAAAATTAGTAGTCAACAAATGAGTGAGACCTTCAAAAAGGAGAAATATAACTAGGTCTTGGGGTAGCCATTGAAAGGGTGAGAATGAAGGATTCATATATGATTAAGTTGTTGAAGTGTGTCAGAAGGGGGAGATAGTGTGGAAGGGGCGGCGACCAAGGGGGGTAGGGCGAGGTAGGAGACGAGGTCGAGTGGGCGGTTCTATCTTTTTTATAATCTTTTATATTTTTTTAATTTTATTTCAAAGGGTTATAATTGGGTTTTATGTCCAGCTGTAAAATAAAGTTTTAATTGTTTTTAAAAATGACACATGGTAAATTTTAAATGGAAGTATTGTGGTGATACAGTACTATTCTATAATTTTTGGTGGAGTTGGGGTCAATGATGGATGAAGAACTCGAAATGACGCTTTTACCCTCTCACTTTAACAGATAAATTGACAAAGTTGGATTGTAGGACCCAATTGAAACTATTTATCAAGTTAACAGATGTAATTGGCAAAAAAAAAAAAAATTACGGATCCAATTACAATTGGGGGCCAAGTTCAAAGAGTAGATAACCCAAATTGAATTATGTAATTTTGATATTTAACACGCAGAAACCTATATTTACATAAACTTATTTATAAACGAAAAATAAATAATTTTGTAGCATCACGCCGTGATTTTCGGCTTGCTAGGGTGGCAACAAGAAAAAAATTGCATTTTTGGGTGTAAACAAATTTAATTTAAAATGAATAATACAGTCGTCTGCCGGCAGTAAGTTTTAGACCACCATATCAAATCAGATCTGAAACCCTTCGACCCCACCATGACCTCCTGGCCCTCATCGTCCGATCCCTCTAATCAGTAAGTCCGGCGAAACCCACAACGTATATTCCTTCTGTGTGTCTGTGTTTTTGCCTTTCAATTCATAGAAATTTGTTCGCTTTATTAGTATTGATATCAAATTGTGTTCATGAATATGTTGAAAGGGAGGCTGTTATAAGAAAGAGAAGCCCGGGGTCCCAATTTAAGTTCTTGGTTCCTCTTATATATGCCCCTGTTCTTCCGCTCAGTAAGTTTTGCAATTTTCTCAACTCGATTTTTACTTGATTTTATCGATTTTTCACATCTGGGTCTTATCCCTTCAACAATTTTCTCTGTGGATATTTGATTTTGCAGTTCGACTCTCGCTGCGTAAGAACCCAGTTGTACGGGATCGTTTGTTTACTGCTGTGTTGGCGGGAGCATTTGCCCATGGCTTTTATTTGGTGTATCCTTTTTTTTATTTTTTATGGTGAGTTCTTTTTATGATTGATAGATTATGTATTGAATAGATAGGTTGGTGCCACGCTGCTGAAAATTCACTATGCTAGAAGAAATGAAAAGTTTTGATCATTGCATATAGCTTGTGAACTGAGGTTAATAGTTGGAAATAATTACTTCCTTGCTTAGAAATTGGAACTAAAGTTGATAGATTTTATTATTTTCTGCCACAAGTTTGGATCTCTAGGGATGTGCTTTTGCAATGAGTGGCTATGGAATATGAAATGTTATGGAATGTGTGTGTGTAAATAAGACGGGGCACTTTTTTTTATCCTTTATTGTTCCCAGCTCTTTGAGAGCGCCTATAAATGAGGGTAGAATCTAAACTATAATGATGAAGCAGAAGGGGATGGTAAAGCACATTTCTTTCTTTGCATGAGATGAAGCCCTTGTATAAAAGCATGCAAAATGTGTCCATCTGCTCTTCTCTCATTGTACCAGTGTATGTTCTGGTGGTAGACCACATGTGAGAGGAGAAAGGGTAGGGGAATTGGTTTTCGAGAAATATTTTCACTTGCAAGTTAGAATTTGTATGAATAATGTAATAATGGATTGGAGATATCAGTTGTTGAAATAGATTACCTTCAACTTCAGTTGAATACATAACAGTATGACTCATTCTGTCTTGTGTGCATGTGAGACGAAGTTATGCAACTGCATCCTGATGTGGTTCCGTTTGAGAATTGGAATTCCAGAATCAGATTTATGTTCCTGTAATTGCAACTCAATAATTTTTTAGTCTTATGATCTCTTCAAAACCCCAACTATTTTTCTCTCTCCTTGTTGTTATTGTCTTCTCCGCAATCTATTGTTTATCCTTGATGCACGTATTCAGAACTGATCTGTATGATGCTGAGAGCAAGTAAATGTGCGGAGCATGGCTTGAATTGATTTGCGGGTTCGTTGCAGCCCAATGTTCCAATGGCACCAACAATAGCTGAAGCCAACTTTGATAATTTTTTTGAGATTAGTTTCAGATTATATCCATTTATCATGGAGTGATACAGTTCACAACACAATACATTTCATTTTCTTTTCACTGAATGGAGGTGTAAGAATCCGAATCATTTTTCTGCTTATAATTGCAAGTGAAATAAATACAGAATGACTCAACTGGTTTTGTGAATTGTAAGGTTTGTTATGGTTTTGTGGATGCTTGATGTGCTATGACGGGTTGGTCAACACTCTGCTGGTTATGCAGGATATTTCGTACTGGCTTAGCTGCAGTGGAGTTGGCATCTGTTACATCTGTGCTTTATAATTTGAGAATTATTCAGGCGCCAATCATGGTGTCCCTATCATGGGTCATGTCAGTGGAGTAGAGGGTCGTGAGTTTCATTACCTTATGCATTCATTCAGTGCGATTCTCATACGCATATTCCCAGTTTGGATACTTTTCTAATTTGCAGGATCCTACCCAAGATTCAAATATACCGTATCCAACTTGAACTTAATTTGATGGCCCTACATTAGCCTTCACTTTGAGCGATATTTTGAACTTATCAGTAAAGGGATTTGGGGGTAGGGGCATCCTTATTTCGGAAGGGGATTCGAGCTCAGGAGGAAACGAAGAGGGGCACCCAAATATTGAACTTATCGGCAGGGGGATTGGGAGGAGGGGCACCCTTACATCGGAAGGGGATTCAAGTTCGGGAGGGAAGGGAAGGGATAGAAACACCCAAATATTTAAGGAGGGGGGATTCGAACTCGGAAGGGCACCAACCTGAACTGAATTATTGAACGGTTGAACCAATCCAAACAGATGAAATTAGTTATGGTTAGGCTCAACCATCATCATTATGGTTAGGCTTAACCGGCATCATTTATCATAATCAGACATCGTCATCATCATTATCATACAAGCAAATAATCCAATATCTTGTAATCGAAATAGCAAATCCAATAATAAAGAAAAAGGATTATATATATATATATATATACACACACACATCAATAATTACATGCTTCATCGTCTAAGCCACGCAATTAACTAAGAACAAGCGTTAATTACATCATAGACGTCACCATCTTTCACATTTTCCACCCCTAAAATCCTACTTTATGAAAAAAGAAAGATAGAAGATTTGGGGCTTTATTACACCTAAGTCGCCGGCTCATAGATCGGATCGGTTCTTGAAATCGGAGGCCAGCCTGGAGGCGATTGATGAGTGGTACATGGCGTCGTGAAACGACTCCGTCTCCATGGTCTTGATCCGGAGCTGCCTCGCCTTCTCCTCCGTGAAGCAACCAGGCGCGAACCGAGATCGCCAAGGTTTCGAGTCGGGGCCCGAGTCCGCTCCGCCCTCGGCCTTTTCCCGGGACTCGGTCTTCGAGTGGGAGTCAATGTAGTCGGGTTCGGAGGACCACCCGAATAGGGGGGTCCACCACTTGGACGCCGAGCCTTTCCGGATAACTGAGTCGGGCTTTCGGTTTCCGGTGGCATGCGGCCCGATCAGGGTGGGCCGAAAATGGATGAGATTGGTGGACATTTTGAGAGAGAAAAAGCTTGGGAAAGACGTTGGATTGGGAACTTTGGTTAACATTAGACTTGACAGTTGGAGCGTTAGATTCAGAATTTAAAGGGAAAATTGTGTGGGAAATGGATAAGGCCGGACGCGTGTCGGTCACTATTTTACAGTTCTAAGGGACATGTGGGGTCCATGTACGCTTTGTTAATGACTTTTACCGGCTATTCCGGTCTTCACGTTAGGTTCTTCGGTGTCGATCGTGATGGCGATGTTTTAAAATGAATTGACGAAAATAACCTCGTCTTTGCGGATCTTTAATGCCCCTAATCTTCCAAAGATTAGGGGCTATCTAGAGCTATAGCCTTTCAATTTTAATTTACTCTTCTTTAATAAATCTTGATTTAATCTTCTTATATTATGCCAAAGACATTATGGGTTGGAAGGGCCTTGTAAGCTAAAATAGTTAAGAGCAATTACCTTCATTTGCATTCGGAATTTTATGTTCAAATTCCCTTTTTCCAATATCGTCTGTAATGATAACATTAACAGCCAACTAAATTTCATGTTCATCACAACCGTTGGGGTAAAATATATAGCCCAAAACAAAAGAAAAAGAGTTATGAAAACACGTGAACTAGAAACCAACCTCTCAGTCAATCTTTTAATATGGATCGCACACATAAGTTATAACATAACAAGTTGTCGATATCATGAAAAACACAAAAGGTCGGATTTCTTCTATAAATTTGGTCTCGACTTGTTATTCCCACCCCTCCCCGTCCCCGCTGACATTTCCAAAATAGAAAGAGGCCAAAGTAAGGTTCAAATTGGGGGGGGGATGGCGCAAGAGGAAGATTCCTATATGCTTTCCTGTCCGGCATTGATCTTATTCGCTTTCTTGTCCTCCTTAATTTGCCGTGGGTCACAACGAAATGAATGCACGGCTTTCCCGTGGGCTTCCTATTCGCGCTTAAGACACGCACGTGTTTCGTTCATAAAATAATAATTTTGTTTTTTCTTGACAAACCGATATTTTAAATTTATGAGTAACACTTGAACAATTATTCAAATCAGGCCCAAATTGCAAGCCCAAGAAACAAACATTACCTTTCAAGAGATAAAATAGAAGCATGGGCCCAAATTGCAGGCCCAAGAAACAATCAATACCTTGAAGAGTTAAAACAGAAGCATGGGCCCAGCAAACCAAAATACAGCAGTAATATTACAAAAACAGTGTCATTCTATAGTGAGCGGCCTTATATATGATGTCCTATCTCTTAACCATTGAATCATGCTAACCAATTTGATTTCATTCGACGATTAAGAGATAGGGCCTCCCTTAAGGATCATATACAAGGCCCTTGCTATAGAATTCTTGCACAAAAACAAGATGAAGCTTTGCTATTGCTATTCTTGCCAATAAACTTTCCAATTAGATACGAAATATGAGTCATTCTATAGTGAGTGAGGGTCTTTAGGGTTTAGGGTTTAGAATGACTATGAGCATATGAGAGGTAGCGCCAAACATGACCAAGAGACTTATCTATTTTAATTGGATTTGTACAAAACAACCAATCAAGCCCTAAATTATGTTTGCCCAAAATGGCCTTGGAGTATTTGGGCTTGTTACTATTAAACGACTGCGGCCTAAATCAAACACAGAGTCCTACAGGAGGAGAAGGGGGTTGAGCTTTGGCCTACACACACCAAACTCGCAGCATTGCAATTTGGAATCACAAATTTCATACAATTTGCCAAATAATTCGAACCTAAAACAAAAATAACAACCTCCTCGGACACTGCTCGTGTTGCATACCTTTCTTCTTATCAGGCAAAAACAAAAACAAGAAAAATAAGAGTTGGCATCATCTTGGGCTTGGTCGTTGATGGTGATTTTTTCAGATGAATGTGAACAGTTTGCATCCACAAAAATCTCTTGCAAGTCACAAAGTCAGTTTGAAACTTCGAAGGAAGCAAATGGTGGTAGGCCAGTTTATGATGGTTTAGTTGTGTTTTGTCACTTTTTAGTTGCAGAGGTTTGCATGGAATGTCAATGAAGTTATCGGGGCAAATGCCACCTTGGTTTGGTTTGGTGGTCCACAAAACCCGCATGCAAAAATTCATTCATTCAAACCCATCCATCCCCTATGCCTATACTTACTCTCCCTAAGTTTGAACACAATATTTTCCAGGTTTTGTCAATTTGTGTGTTGGGTCGATTTCCATTCAAACCATTAATAGTAACCCAAAATAAAATATTTTCCTGATTTTCCATTCAATGAACTGATGCAATGATTTGAGTGTGACAATTGGGGGAATTTCGATGGGTCCCATTGGTCCCTATATGTAGCTGCTTTCATTTACAAACCCAGTCCTTTTTGGTGGGCCATTTTCTCTCCCACGGGCTCCATGGGATCACTGGGCTTGTCTCAGCATCTTCTTCAAAAATTTCCAGGTCTATCTAAGTATATACCCTTCTTGCCCCTTACCCACCGACCAAATGCTCCATCATTCTCCAATTTTTTTAATTAACTTTTTAACTTTTTTCTGCCATAAATATGTGTGTAAAAGTTAGGAAACACTCCAATGTAAAAGTTAATTCTTTGTTTTCTTGTCACCCTCTCTCTATTTTTGTCTTCTCATCTTCCTCCTCTCTCCCCCTTTTTTTTTTTTCCTGCTTCTTTCTCTCTCTCCATCTAGACCTATCAATGGATCGAATTTTGATCCAAATTTGGTGTAATTAATGGGAGATGAATTGAACTTTTCAATCCGATTATAAATAAATATGGATATGGATTATAATTGATCCGATCCGACTTAGCATGAAGTATAATTTAGTTTTTTTTATGCTTTATATTAATATTTTATATATATAAATGAGTAATTTTAGTTTTATATACACTAAGAATTTAATGATAAAATATCAAAAATTAATATAAAAATTAGATAAATACAATAAAAGAATAAGGGTACTAATGACATTTTAATTTTTTATACATCACAAAATAGATCCAGTAATAATCCAATCCGATCCGAATGTAACCCATTTATAAGTCTATCTCTGTCTCTTTCTATCTCTCTCACTTTTTTTTTCCTCCTCCTTCTCTCCCTCTCTCTTTCTTTTGTTTCCCTCCTTCCTCTCTCCGTCCGTTTCCATCTCCTCTCCCTTTTTTTTTTCTTTCCTTTTTTCCTTATTCCTCTCTCCGTCTGACAAGCTTTTCGGAATTGAACCCAAAAAAAAAAAAGTAGAAGCTTTTGGGTGAAGATGCCAAGAGAATTTCAATTTTCAAACTTAAAAATAATATAAAATTGGTTTTTGCTGTTTTGCCGACATCGACTGCGATTATCGGTTCAACCGCAAAGTGTCGGCCGGTACTAGTATCAAATATGTCAATACCGCAAATTTGCAGTCGGTTTGCGGTTGCTGGAAAAAGTTGCGGATTTCGAATCGCATCCACCTCTAATTATTATTATATGTATGTAAAAAAGTTAGGAAACGTACTGCAAGGGTTTAGGCCTCCAGGATATTGAGCCGCCTCCTCATATTCAAGTTTGAGTTCATCTTTCATGTAAATTAGAGTAGTTTAGACTATCACTATTATTATTATTATGTATATAAAAAAGTTAGGAAAACACTCATCTGATAGTTACAGAGCATCTAACTCAATTATTTTAGTTACAATTATGAACTTAAGTAGAATGCTAAAAGTTTTGGAATAATATTGTTCTTGGAGTGTTTTGCTTTCGAAGGGTTTACTCGCACTTTATAGTCCCATTGGTTTGTTGTGTAACCTAACCTCCAGACTGGGAAAAACAAAAGGGAGATTCACGAGAGCTTAGAAGTGAAAGGCGGGGGCCAGAGCTTAGAGAACCAAGAAGTGAGAGATGACATGGCCTTTTGTGCCCATCATGTATATGTTTCTTTTTTGTTACTTATTGCCTACCGATGTGAGTGCAGCATGCTTTTCTGTTTTCTGAGGCCTAAATTATGGGGCTGCGCCTAAGCTTAACTTTACAAAGGCCGGGATCTACGCCATGCGATTCACATGGTCGGCTGCATATCATAATTGAATCTACAATATTCTCTCCTGTAGCTACAAGCTAAGTCTAGTTCTGGTCAAAAGTTGTGAGACCATGAGAGTTGGATGCTCTTTCAGTCTGTCAACTAGCTTTTCTCTTCTTTTCTTATTTTCTGTTTTTGGGTCATCTAACTCTGTCAAACCCTGAGAAGGTGATCATGATTCTACTACCAATAGAAGCTTTTCATTTCTCTTCTTCTATGGTAGCTAATCAAAGCCAACTTGCCCTGCATTAAGTTTTTTTATTTTATTCTTAGAGTATGATCAGGGAAGGAATAGTAGTTGAGTTTTTGGTATCTTTCAAAGGCCCTGGGAAGGAAGAATGTGCTTCAAGAGATGATGATGAAAAACAAAAGCAGGATTTTCAGCTTGCTTAAGACAGAGGGCAAAGTTTACACATGTCACAATAAGGTTGGTATGCAATCCACTTTGGCTCAACATAATGAGTAAAAAACCTGTGTGAACCCGGCCCTCGGTATAAGGTATGAAACAAAAATGAGCTTTTATCTTGTCAAATTTCCATTATGATGATCATGCCCATTGGATAGAAAAATTTCATACGCGCGTGAAACACTGTCAACACAGGCACTCTATGATCTCAAGTCTCAACCACAAAAGCACTTGTGACTTGTCCCAGAAGCAGTCCAGAAGAGACTGGTCCAGAAAAACCCGTGTGCCTATAAATGCCAAAATGAGGCACTTTTTAGAACTTTCAACAAAACCACTTCAAAGATATTAGTTTCAACTTTCCAAGATATGGACCCATGCAAAGCAATCAAACTGGGACCAACTACATCTTTCAGACTTTCCCTTGTTCCTGCAGAGTCTCATCTGATACAGAGAATCTCTTAAAACCCTTATTAAATTTTGGCTCCTCTTTTTGCCTGCCTCTTGTCTACCCACAAAACGCAGCTTCTAGCGTTAAATCATGTGTTGTCATGCATGATGTAATTAACATTTTTGGAAAATTTCAAGCGTAAAAAATTCTCTTGACAAGTTCGAATTCACTTGCTAGATTTAGT